CTCAGCCAGTGAGCGCTGTGAGCGCACCAGTCATCCCTATATAGGATCCGAACCCGCGGCAGGAGCGCTGCTGCGCTCCCAGCGCCGCACTCTCCCGAGTGCGCCACGGGCTCGGCCCTGGTGAGTACCCTTGAGGGGCTGATACTCAGTGCTTCTGGGAGCTTCCTCTGGGGACAAAGCTGGGCTTTGGGAGAGAAGGTACCTCATGATGAGCCAAGGGGTTCTGTGGGGGGGATATGGGGTTGCTGGTGAGGTCTGAAGATTTAGGCCCACCTCTGACTCTGCTTTCATCTCTTGCTCCTATGGAGCAGATTCCATCTTCAGGATCTTCCTTTCACCCCTCCACTCGCCCCAGTTTCCAGGAGCTAAGAAGAGAGACAGGTGGCAACAGCCGGTGAGGAGAGTATGTGGGAGAAGGTCATTTGGAAAAAAATGAACCAATGTCTGATACAGGCATCCCTCAGAGCTGGGGCCATCTAGTAGCCTTAGGATTCCACACCAACCCAGGAGGGAAAGGGGGAAACCTGTGACTGCCCAGGATGAGCCCTTAGAATGGGGTTCAGGACTTCAGAGCTAGTCCTCAATATGACATCAGTTTCCTCAGGTCATGGGGAGAAGAAGGGGATGATAATGTGAGGTCCTATCTCTTTCGTTTAGTGGCTAAAGCACAGACTGTGGCAATAAATGGGATTTGGGTTTAATTCTTGACCTTTACCACTTACTGGTTGTGTAAGCTTGCCTTAATCTCCATGAGCTTTGGCTTCTTTATCTGTCAAATGAGGACAATGTTTATACCATCATTAGAGGTTGTTGTGAGAATGAAGTGAGATGATATTTGTAAAACACTTAGCACATGCCCAGCTCATCCTTGGTACTCAGTGACTGCTACCTGCTGTCCTTATTGTCATCAGGACTTCAGCGAGCCAGGCATCAGGACTGCTCCTGGAGACCCCAGGCCAACCTGGTGAGTGTGTCTGGCTGTGGGGAAAGAATAGGGTCAGGTGAGCTGCCTGTGGTAAGGAACAAGACAAGAGAAAGCTCACTGGCTGGGGGGTGAGGAATTGTGGAGGTGGGGATCAGAAGGAGCAGGGAGGAAGAGACCTTCTGGATAGGCCAGAGGTTGGCCCAGTCGCACTTCTGTCAAAGGGGTGGTCCCCATTTCTGCCCTCTTCTGCCACTTTCCGCAAGATTTACCTTCCATTCACTGTTCTATCCCCAGCCTCTGAGAGCCATCACCACCCAGCCTTCTCAGGGTGTGCACATTAATAGGTGTTCACTAAGATAGTGTTGGCCTCTGGAGTGTGCTGGATGAATCCTTGCCCCTAATGGTGCAGCGGGGGCTGTTAAACTGCTATACTCTCTTTAGAGGTTGCAAAGCCCTGTGCCAGATTTTGATGTGTGTTCTAGACACTACGGCAAATTTCCTGTCTCTTTCTAGCTTCCTCTGTCCCTGAAGGAGAACGTGAGGTTGTCATTCACTCAGATGAAGGAGGAAGGGTCCCCCTTGGTCTGGCCCAGCGAGTACCATTAAGAGAAACCCGAGAGATAACACACACCAGGGTGAGATGGGACCCTCCTGAGATGGAAAGTGGGAGGTATGGGAGATGCCTGGGGGGATTACATTGCAGCAGCCGGCACTGAGAATTGTAGGTAGAGCAAGATAGTCGTGGGCTTTGGGATGTTATTGGGTCTGGGTTTGCCCCAGATGGGCCTAAGCCCTCTGCATAGTGGAACTGACCTCTCTTTACCAGGTGTCTGGAGGCTGGAGTGAGAGGTCACAGACTTGTATATATCTGTATTACCATCAGATCAGTGCTGAGAGTGAGACAGAGCTGCCACTTATCAGCCAAAAGCATTCAACCCTTCACTCCACAAATATTTGCTGACCAATTACTGAGTGTCAGGCACTGTTCTAGGCTGTAGACATACAGCAGTAAACAAGTTCATATTCTACAAGAGGGAGACAAAAAATAAACACAAGCCTGGCCGGTTAGCTCAGTTGGTTAGAATGTGGTGTTATAACACCAAGTCCAAGGGTTCAGATCACTGTACAGGCCAGCCACACACACACACATACACACATGTATGCACACAGACACACACACAAAACCACACACATAGTAAATAAATAAGGAACAAAACACATATGTAAAATATATAGTATGTCAGATGGTGATAAGTTTTCTGGAAAAAATATGTGTGTATATATATTTATGTATAAAATAAAGTACTGAAGAGGAATAGGGTATGGGGGAGTTGGAATTGTAATTTAAAGTATATTGCTCAGTCAGGGCACTCTCATTGAGAAGGTGATGTTTAATTAAAGACCAAGAGTTGGGCCGGCCCAGTGGCGCACTGCTACAGTGCGCCGCTTGGGAGCGCGGTGGCGCTCCCGCCGAGGGTTCAGATCCCACATACAGACCAGTTCCCGCTCACTGGCTGAGCGGGGTGCGGGCGCAACACCGAGGGTTGCAATCCTGTTGCCGGTCCCGGTCCGGTACGGGCGCGACACTGAGGGTTGCGATCCATTGCCGGACACGAAAAAAAGACAAAAAAAGGAAAGAAAAAATAAATAAATAAAAAATAAAGACCAAGAGAGTTGAGGGAGTGAGCCATGCAGATATACGGGGGGAGAATGTTCCAGGCCAAAGGAATTGCAGGTGCAGACATTGAGGAGGGAATATGCCTGGTGTGTCTGAGA